AGGAAAGGGCAGGGGTCAGAGGGGAAGGAGTAAAGAGGGGCCGGGGTGGCTGGGCGCAGGAGCGGGGGCTGAGGGAGGGGGCGGGGTGCAGGAGAGGGCAGGGGTGGGGTGCGCAGGTGGGGGCAGGGTCGGCGGGGGGGCAGGCACAGGAGGCCCCGCCCCGTCCGCCCCGCGCGCGCCCCCGGCCGTTGCCCGCCGCCCCGCCCCCACGCGGGTGCGCGGCCTCGGCGCGGCGCTCCGCTCACCGACGGGCTTGTGGCCCAGCATGGCGTGGAAGAGGCACACCTCCACCTCGGGGCTCCACACCACCGTCTCCTCGGCAGGGCTGGTGGCCGCTTCGCCAGGCCCCTTGTCGCCCGCCGCGCCGCCGCCGCCCACCTCAGCCTCCCCCATAGCCCGGCCGCCCAGCGACGAGCCCCCTGCGGGAGCTGGCGCGGCCACGGGCTCCGCGCAGGCGCACTCCACGGGGCGGGCGCGCGCTCGGTGGGTTCGCTCTCGGGCTCGCGCGCGGCGCCTGCGCAGGCGCAGCTGAGGGCTGGGTCGCGGCGCCCCCTGGCGGCCCGGTCCCGCGGCGCAGCGCCGTCAGAGTGCGGATCACTGCGAGGAGTGCGTTTGGGGAGAGGGATGGAAACGCCCTAAATTAGGTTGTGGCGATATCTGCACAGCTCGGGGTAAACCCCGCTGAACTGTACGCTTTAAATGGGGGAATTTCAAGTTACACCCCAGTAAAGCAGCTTAGAAGAAAAGCAACAGGCAACCTACAATGCTCGCGAGTGTGGGCTCCAAGAGCTTCCATTGCCCCTGGCCTGATCGCTGCAGAGGGGCTCCTGTGCACCGGGGCAGGGGCGTCCGGGCCCATCCTCCCCGACCCGGGCCTCTAGAGTGGTCGGCAAGTGAGCCCTGGGGGTTAACCCTGGCCGCGGAGGGGCGGGGCCTGGGCCTGGGCGGAGTCTGGTCCGAGGGCGGGGCCAAGCGGGGCGCCGGCCTGGGGGCAGTCCCGTGACGAGCTCAAAGCAGCACCCAATCAAGGCCGCCTGCTCCGCGCCGCCCCATCCCCGCCCACCTCGGGCTTCTCCCCGCCCCCTCCCCACCGGGTCAAGTCCACCGCGGTGCCCGGGGAGGGTACTCTAGGCGAGGAACGCTCTTCGCCTCCCGCTGAGTGTAGACTCTCCGTCAGGCTTCCGGATCCCCTTCCGGCTCTGCGGCCTGCCAGCTGTGTGAGGCGGCAAGGCGCTGAACCTCTCCAGGCCGCAGTGCCCTCCTCCGTGCAACGGGAGAGACGACGGCGCCTTCCCCGGGGGTGCTGATGGGGGCTGGTTTCTGCTTGGGGACCCGGGCACACGCTCGGGCTTCTTAGCAAACATTTGGAGCCACTCTGGGCAGCCTCACCCCCTGGGACAGCCCGGGGACTCAGAGCCTGAGTCTTGGCTTCGCATCCGTGAAGGGCGATGCTGGCGATGCCGGTCCCCACAAAGTGGGGAGACGTGGCCCACAGAGGATTCCACAATGGCCCAGGGCCACCAGCCGTCCTGGGAGCCACGATGTGGCTGGATATTGTGACTCCAGCTGGGCCTGTGCTCCTCTCCTCTCTCTGCCGCACAGGTGGGGCTCCCCTCAGGGGGTTGCTGCGAGGTGGGAATGCAGCAGGGCCCAAAGCCACTTAACACGGCCTCTGTCACACAGGAAGTGCTAACAGACAGTGGCCCTCACCATTTATCTCCCTACTGTCGCGGGACACGTCGTGGTCCCTGCGCCTCCACCAGGCTCGCTCTCTGCTCATCCCCTATCCCATCCGTCCCTTCTTCAATCTGGAGAGCCTCCTCCCCCAGGAACCGCCCCCACCCCCATCCCCGCCCCACCGACTGCCTTGGCTGGTTTGTGCCCCTCTGGGCCCTGCCTGGAGTCAGCTGTGCCTGATTATTTCCCCCACTGCGCTGGAGCTTCTGGGGGCCGGGCCGTGTCTTGGTCCTCTGTGGTGGCCACTGCACCTGAGCCGTGTTTGGCCAGCTGCTGTGGTCCACAGACACCCGGCTCCCCTCGTTCTAGGCAGATCCTGGAATGCGTCCCTGGCAATCAGACTCGATGCGGAGAGATAGGTTGGACGATTTGGGCAAAAGGAAACCGTCTTCTCCACATCTCTCTTACTCTAAGCCTCCCAGTTACTGCCTGTTTGTCTGCTCCACCAACTCTACCTGTGGGTTCCGTGCCCGCCTCCGTGCCCAGCGTCAGGATGGAGCTGAATGCTGTGCTCAGCTGCCAGGACTCTGCCTAATCCCAGTGATTTGGCTTATTTCCCTGTGTCGCACAGATGTGAGCACAGTTGGAGCTAGACTTAGGCAGGATTAAGGAATCGGGAGCACTATGCCTGCGCCTTCAGCCTCTGGGTTTTGGTGAATCAAGCATCAGGCTTCAGAGTGATTGACTGCACTGGTGATCCAGTGTGGGTGACTGGGCCATCTGGGAGTTATTTAGGATGAGCAGCCTCAAAATAAGATGTGGAAAAAAGTTTTAAAAAGTGAAATGCAGCTGGATAGATGTGTGTGGGCCCGGTGTGTATCCTTCTGGGATGATCATGAGAGTCTGGGCTGAAGGAAGCCCCTTAGCCCACGAGTGGAAAGCTGCTGGGGAGAAATTCCTCTGTTATGGGCAGTTTCTTCCCACCTGGTTACGAAGGCAAAGGGTGGGTGTTGTCTAGGGATGAAACATGGCTGGGAAAGAGGCGGTCAATCAGGTGTCATTAGCAGTTGATTGTTGAGTGCCTCCTGCATGCTTGGTACGGGGGTGTGGGTAGGGACTGGGCATGGTGACTGCTCTGCTGGGAGCCCATAGTCTGGGGATCACACTGAAGAAGACGTAAGATCTTATGTGAAGGAGTGGAAGAGAAGGGAGCTTCCCTGGGGATGAGGACAGCCCCAGGTGGCAGGACTTCAGAGAGAGGCCACAGGTGCAACCAGGAACCTGACTCTGAGCCCCACACTCCCGATCTCAGTGCACAGGGGTCCCTGGATCCTGGCATGGCTCAGACACCACCCCTGGACACACTCTGGGTGCTCAGAGCCCTGGACATGCACTGCAGGGGCCAGCTAAGACCAAGGGCTTCCCCTGGACGTTCTGGGCAACTAGACCTCCAGGGCCCTGGGAGGGGTGGGGGATGGGTAGCTCCTCCCTCAGTAAAGAAGACATTGGATCAAACTACCAATGTTATTTTTCACAGAACTAGAACAAATAATTTTAAAATTTGTATGGAAACACAAAGACCCTGAATAGCCAAAAACAGTCTTGAGAAAGAAGAACAGAGCTGGAGGAACCATACTCCCTGACTTCAGACTATACTATGAAACTACAGTCATCATTTTTGGCACTGGCACAAAAACAGACACATGGGTCAGTGTGGACAGAAAGCCCAGAAATAAACCCACACACTTGTGGTCAATTATCTACAACAAAGGAGGCAAGAATATACAATGGAGAAAAGACAGTCTCTTCAATAAGTGGTGCTGGAAAAATGGACAGCTACATGTAAAAGAATGCATTTATAAAATTTTCTCACACCATATACAAAAACATAAACTCAAAATGGATTAAAGACCTAAATGTAAGACCAGAAACCATAGAACTCCTAGAGGAAAACATAGGCAGAACACTTTTTTACATAAATCATAGCAATATTTTTTTAATCTGTCTCCTAAAGGAAAGGAAATAAAGGCAAAAATAAATAAATGGGACTTATTAAACTTAGAAGTTTTGCATAGCAAAGGAACCCATCGACAAAACAAAAAGACAATCTACTGAATGGGAGAAAATATTTGCAAATGATATGACTGATAGGTGTTAATATCCAACATATATGAACAGCTCATACGACTCAACATCAAAAAAATAAACAACCAGATTAAAAAATGGGCAGAAGAACTGAATAGACATTTTTCCAAAGAGAAAAATGCAGATGGCCAACAGGCACAGGAAAAGATGCTCAACATTGCTAATCGTCTGGGAAATGCAAATCAAAACCACAATGAGATATCACTTCACACCTGTCAGAATGGCTACCATCAAAAAAGAACACAAATAACAAATGTTGTCGAGGATGTGGAGAAAAAGGAACCTTCGTACTCTGTAGGTGGGGATGTAAATTGGTCTAGCTGTTGTGGACAACAGTATGGAGGTTTCTCAAAAAACTGAAAATAGGGCTTCCCTGGTGGCACAGTGGTTGAGAGTCCGCCTGCTGATGCAGGGGACACGGGTTCGTGCCCCGGTCCGGGAAGATCCCACATGCCGCGGAGCAGCTAGGCCCGTGAGCCGTGGCCGCTGAGCCTGCGCGTCCAGAGCCTGTGCTCCGCAACAGGAGAGGCCACAACAGTGAGAGGCCCGCATACCGCAAAAAACAAACAAACAAACAAAATAAAAAAACAACTGAAAATAGAACTACCCTATGACCCAGCAATCCCACTCCTGGGTATATATCTGGAAAACAGAAACAAAAACACTAATTCAAAAAGGTACGTGCACCCCAGTGTTCATAGCAGCATTATTTACAATTGCCAAGATATGGAAGCAACCTGTGTCCATCAACAGATGAATGCATAAAGAAGATGTGGTGTACACACACACACACACACACACACACACACACACACACACTGGAATACTACTCAGCTACAAAAAAGAATGAAATTTTGCTATTTGCAACAACGTGGATGGACCTGGAGGGTATTCTGCTAAGTGAAATAAGTCAGACAGAGAAAGACAAATACTGTATGTTATCACTTATATGTGGAATCTAAAAAATTAAACAAACTAGTGAATATAACAAAAAAGAAGCCGACTCAACAGATATAGAGGACAAACTAGTGGTTACCAGTGGGGAGAGGGAAGGGGGGAGGGGCAATAGAGGGGGAGGGGATTAAGAGGTACAAACTATTAGATATAAAATAAACTACAAGGGTATGTTGTACAACACGGGGAATATAGCCAATATTTTATAAAAACTATAAATGGGGTATAAACTTTAAAAATTGTAAATCACTATATTGTACACCTGTAACATGTAATATTGTACATCAACTATACTACAATAAAAAAATAAATAAGTTAAAGAAAATGATGTTGAGTTCCCCTCTCCATCCGACTGTGTATTCCACCTGCACAGAGCAAGTAGGGTCACGTGACAAGCGTCATGCCAAAGTCCCTGTGCCCGTGCGTGTGAGGGGCTGTGTGGCTTCACTGCCCTTCCCGTGTAAGATGAGGGACGGTGGGTGGGCACACCCTGGGGGCTACACATGGGCTGAGGGAGGGAGCCCTGGGAGAGGCTGGTGGCGAGAGGGGAAGTCGACACGAGGTACGTGGGGGAGGTGTGTGTGAGTGTGTGCATATGTGTGGTAAGGAGGAAGCCTAAAGGCACTAAGTACTGGGAGACAAATATCAATAGAACCCACAGATAATGTATATGCAGAA